ACTGAGACTTGGATAGGTAACCAACCGTCCTTGCCAACGGAAGATGCTGCGAGATCGGCTGACTCTACGGTGACAGAGCTATCTATGCCGACTTAAGATATCACCGGTTGCTTTCACAGTGCTGTTGATGCCAACGGAAGATGTGTCAGTGAAAAGAGAAAATAAAAATCTCAGTTGTTGAGAGAGTTTGCGCAGGGCAGTTGTGTGTTGAATTGGAGGTCCTTTGAACGTTGCCGGCGACTCTGTATTTATAGTGACGAATACGCACTGGTTGATAAGCTGAAAAAGACTCCCAAACAATTAAAACTCATCTTATCGAATCCAAGATAATCTGCAAGCTTGGGTAACGTCCATCTAATCAACCACCCAATATATATATATATATATATATATATATAAAAGGTTGCACCTTTCCCATGAATTGGCAGACCTCATGTCGTCAATTATATATATATATATATATATATATATATATATATATATATATGGCTGATAGCTTTTGACACAGCATACATGCCATGTCCATCATCAATTTACTTCATCCGACAACACCCCTTAGGTCTCCTACCTCATCCTCACCTCATCCACAATAGCCATCATCATTCTGATCAAACGAATTTTAAATTCATCTTACTTCCCAGTGCTGACAGACATCCCAAATCAATTCGAATTGTACTGCTTATTCGGGATATGAATCGCATTCTATTTATCTGGTTTAAGAAGATACCGAGATAATTCATATTAAAAGATAATTATAATATTATCCTTTAATAATCAAATTATCTCTACTTTCTCATCTAGCGGTCGAGAATCATGCCCACTCAACGGCCTCGATTGCTTGGGCCGATGATGTAAAATCGGGTCCAAATAGAAGCGCTTAGATTAAATCCCCATATTTGATCTCGGTTTCAGCTTGATTGTCATCAGATATCAACTCAACTGGGAGTAAACTGCCACAAACTAACTGAGAAGATGAATAAACTCCCAAGAACTCACAAATCCACATTCAATAATTCACAAATCCAACATTAGAGAAGGAGGGAAGAAGCTTCATTGTTCCTGCTACTTCGAATGGTTTGAACAAATTTTTGTTTTCAATTTCATTCTACGATGCTGCCAACAGTTACTAGACTCCAGCAAAAACACAAATTGTGCATTGTGAAGCTCATTGTTCCTCTTCTGTTTTTGAGTCAATCACGATTTAAGACTGATAGATTGTTTTTATTCTACTTTGTTCAGTTTTCTTGAGAATTCAACTTTGTTTTGAAGGTTCTCCCTTTTTTTGACTAAAAAAAAAAACATCATGGCCTCTTCCCATTTGTGCTTCGCCTACTTTTTCACGATGTTCATGGTTACATTCTGCAATCTACATGGAGCACATCCTGGTATTGCAACTCTAATTTCTGCTTAATTACACATATAGATAGAGACTCTCTTTTGTAGAAGCATTATTCTACAAACATGATAAACCTCGCTGTGTAGAAGTGTAAACGAAGGAGGGAAAATGCGAACACGTGAGAAAACTGTTTCGCGGAAGCGGAGAAATAAAATCAATTGCTCCATTGTGAAATTCAAAAGCAATCTCTTCTCCACTGATACCCAAAGGTTCTTATGTGAGATTTAGTTTTGCTTAAGTTTGGTTTACTTAACCATCCTTTAGTTTTGTTCAAGTTTGGTTTACTTAACAATTCTCCTTTACTTATATTACTTGCTTATCCCTTCAGGCACTTCTCACACAGGAATGTTCTTCTGTCCTTTTGATCGGGTAGTTGAAAGAACACCATGATTCGTTACTGATGTTGTTCGTTTGTGTTTTCATCAATTCGACTATCTGTCGAGCACTTATGGTATTCCTAGCTTGGCTATTCCTCAGTTCTCTATCGAATCAGAATCATAGTTTTAATTTCGATTCTATTTCGGTTAGTGCAGGTTTGGGATGATCGTTTTTGGATTTCTTTACGTTTGTTTGTCCGACTATAGGTTATCTACCTCTGTCTCTTCACTTATTTCTAATGCTATTCTATTGCACAGGCACCTTTGAAGCATGAACACCAAGAGATGTGGTTTGATTATGTTAATTCGTCTTTTTGAAACCAGAAACAAATGTGTTGCAGGAAGAATTCTTTGGCCCAAGGAATTAGAAAGAATATAAAATGTGGTGAGAAAATTGTTGCGGCAAAAGGAAGAAATCAGGATCCAAATTCGATCAGAGTTGAATGTTTGAGTGAGTTGGTTCAATCAGCATGTACATGTTTGGGAGTTTGTATTCCTAACAATTTTGAAAATTTATCTTCTGTTTGATAGGTTTTCAGAATGTTGGAAGATAAAAGTGGAATCATTATATTCTCATCGGTAGTTTCTTGATTTGCTTGCTAATTTTGTATGGTACATTGGCAACATTAGTTATTTAGATTCAGTGAATTTTATTGTCATTGGAGTATGCATGATTCCTCTGTCTCTTCACTTATTTCACATATAAAAACTCAGTATATTCTTTTGATAATTTACAATGTTCCCTTACTCTGCGTGAGGGATTGCGTAGTTTTACAAAATCAACTATTCATTTTGATACCGAACGGATGTGGCAGCCAAAAGTTCCAACTGTCTTAGATACTTCGGACAAATGTTCGTAGAAAATTACTGTTTTACATTCTCTTAAGTTACATTTTGTTTTGTCTAGAATATAAAAGCCATGCAGGAATGGAGTTTATAGGCTACTAAAGAGGCCCCTATCAACTCTGCTGCCGTAAAGTACACAAATTTCTTAATTGGCAACAACCTCTGGAAAAGTTGAAGGAGGGTTGATAGGCCCCAATCAAAAGTAGTTTTATCACTCCCTTAATATGGAAAATTATGGACATATAAAATCAATGCATGTAGAACATGTATAAAGTGTTTCTGAAGCAAAGATGTTTTTATGCATGCACAAATGTGAAGGGGATAAAAACTCTGTATGCCACGTGTAACACACCATGATATAAAAAAAGACTTTTTTGCACACGCAAGGCGTGTGTAGAAGGGCTAGTTTGTTGTAAGTGAGAAGTTAAGACAGTTGTCATTATTTGTTGTTAGTGGGAAAACTAAGATGGAGTCTTTGAGCAGTTCATCTTATGTAACTTTTATAACTTTTGTCTTTTTAATTTGTGTATATTACCTTATCCACTAAGGGTGATAATAAATCTATAATTAGTAGCATTTTCTCCATCATCCTTTGTTTTCTTTTATTTTATCCCCCTACCTAATTTCTTCTACAACGATTATTCTCTCTATTCCTCCATCTTTTCCGTTTTTACATACTGACCAAAGATGAGTGTTCGTGTAGTTGAGCTTTGGACTCTTCCTTTTGTGCAGATAGGTTTGAGTCATAAAACAATTTTGTTGGGCTATTGTATTCTGGAGGGAACAAGTCATGGGATATACTGCTGCATCTGTCCGTGGACTTTGTTAAACCGCAGTGAACTTTAATCTCCTTAAGGAGAGCGATATACTTGCGTTTTAGCCTAATTGTCTACATGCTTTTTAGAAGAATATAATTTTATTATACCCCGAATTGGTGAATTAGGTAGGATCATTTTGTACAGAATAACAGTACATAATAACAAAGCAAAGAGCAAGTCAATTTTCTTGTAATTTTCCCAACATTTTTTATTCGAACTAAAATTGAATTGGTGTTTTAGGCTGAATAAGTTCCAAGGGCAGGAAAGCTGTTATCTACTTGTCAAAACATTTGTAATTCCGGTCCTTTGGATCAAGGTGTTCTATTTCTCTAGTTTCAAATGTAAAACGATAATTGCGTCATATATGTAGTTGTAGACATAATCTAGTGGCTGTTACCTTCCATGAATTTTTATCCCTTAATCCTCATCAATTCATTTGATCCAACGGTCGAAAATTGAGAGTGTGTGTAAAAGATAAAAAGAGGTGTGTGCTTAACACCACCCTATTTCCATTTCAAAGTCATATTTTTTTTTTTAACAAACAATATTATCTACACTGAAAGGGAGGGGTGAGCTTAACCTTACAATGTGCTGGCAATAATATGGTTCAAATTCTCATTTGGCGAGAATCAAACCTTAGACCCCTCACTTATAAATGAATAAAAATATCACTAGACCATAGTGCTAAATGGCTTCGAAATCATATTTTAGCATAACTATTGGCAGTTGCTGGTTAAAGGACCAATATGATTAGAAGTTAGAACATAAGTAATTACCACCAAAGCATCCATTTTTTGAGGACATCAACGACTTCTTTACAAGATCCATTTTTGTCTCCCATACAATCACATATAAGTTGAGAAACCAGGAAGATAATACAAATTCATTATACAGGAGGAAACTTTAACATTCATAAATCATAAATGACTAATTAAACACATAGGACCCCGATAGAAATCCTCCACACACAACTGCAACCCCCCTTTCCCATTGTAAAATGGAAAATTACGGACGGTGAATGAAATAGTATGTTTGTGAGATAATAAGAACAGAAAGGGAAACCGCAACAATGAACTATGTCAATGGCCGTGCCTTATTAAAATAGGCACGACACAAGCTCATTTAGATAAGGCACTACATGGCATGATTAGCAATGAGTGGCTAGGTCGGTCCTAAGGTTTAGGTCCAATAGGTTGGCCCGGCCGTGATTCATCATGGCCAAGCACGGCCCATGACGTGGGGCTATTATGATGACTATCCCATTTAAACTAATACATAACTAAATATTAATATATTTATTCATTATTTTTCAAGTAAAACATACATTTTGGAACTAATAAGACTAAATAATTGTGATATTAGGTTTTAAACTAGATTCAAATAATTTTTTCTGATAATATAAAATAACTAAAGTTTGTTTAGCCGCTTGTTTAGTGGCATGGTCCAAGAACGGCTTAGGCCCATATGACACCTGGACCGTTTGACACCTTTAGGGCACGTTTGTTTGACAGGATTAGCAAGGCTTGGACTGGACTAGACTATAGTCCTGTGTTTGATGTGCAACCGGATTAGCTTTAATGGGCTTAGGTGGGACTCGCTCGGATTACACGCCTCCTTACGAGTTCTTAACGAAGAACCCCAATTTTGGGCGGACTCGTAAGCCCGGAGAGAAAACCGCGAGGATCCCCAACGTCCTGCTCGTCCTCATCTCTGCGAGGATCCCCAACGTCCCTCGTCCTGCTCGTCGCTCGTCGTCGACCTTGCCCTGCTTCCTCGTCGTCCTCCTCCTCACCCTCATCTCTGCGTCTTCTCGCCCTCATCTGGTCGGAGACAGTCTGGTAAGCTTCAAATCTTCGATTGATTTCGTCGAATTGAGATTAGAATTTGGGGTTTTCATATTTTTAGTTCAAATTGAGATTAGAATTTGGGGTTTTCGTATTTCAACTTTTCTGGTAAACTTCAAAATCAATTTTTAGGTCAAATTGAGATTAGAATCTGTGTGTGTAATCTCTGTGTGTGTCTGTGTGTGTGTGCGTGTGTGTGTATACTATGTCTGTGTGTACTCTGGTTTGTCTGTGTGTGTGTGTATACTCGTGTAATCTCTGTTTGTGTATACTCTGTGTGTGTGTGTGTGTGTAATCTGTGTGTGTAAGTGTAATATGTGTGTGTATGTAATCTGTGTGTGTATACTCTGTGTGTGTGTGTGTGTGTTTGTGTAGTGTGTGTGTGTATTGTGTGTGTGTGTGTGTGTTTGTGTAGTGTGTGTGTGTGTGTGTGTGTTGTGTATTGTGGCTGTGTGTGTGTGTGTGTAAGTGTAATATGTGTGTGTGTGTGTATGTAATATGTGTGTGTGTGTGTGTGTTTGTGTAGTGTGTGTGTGTGTATTGTGTGTGTGGGTGTGTGTGTGTTTGTGTATTGTGTCCGTGTGTGTGTGTGTGTGTGTGTGTGTATTGTGTGTGTGTGTGTGTTTGTGTGTGTGTGTGTGTATTGTGTGTGTGTGTGTGTGTTTGTGTGTGTTGTGTGTGTGTGTGTGTGTGTGTGTGTGTGTATTGTGTGTGTGTGTGTGTTTGTGTAGTGTGTGTGTGTATTGTGTGTTTGTGTGTGTGTTAGTGTAGTGTGTGTATTATGTGTGTGTGTGTGTTTGTGTAGTGTGTGTGTGTATTGTGTATTGTGGCAATGTGTGTGTGTGTGTAAGTGTAATATGTGTGTGTGTGTGTATGTAATATGTGTGTGTGTGTGTTTGTGTAGTGTGTGTATGTAATATGTGTGTGTGTGTGTTTGTGTAGTGTGTGTATGTAATATGTGTGTGTGTGTGTGTTTGTGTAGTGTGTGTATGTAATATGTGTGTGTGTGTGTGTTTGTGTAGTGTGTGTGTGTATTGTGTGTGTGTGTGTGTGTGTGTGTGTGTGTGTGTATTGTGTGTGTAGTGTGTGTGTGTATTGTGTGTGTATTGTGTGTGTGTGTGTGTGTTTGTGTAGTGTGTGTGTGCATTGTGTATTGTGGTCGTGTGTGTGTGTGTGTAAGTGTAATATGTGTGTGTGTGTGTATGTAATATGTGTGTGTGTGTATGTAATATGTGTGTGTGTGTGTTTGTGTAGTGTGTGTGTGTATTGTGTGTGTGGCCGTGTGTGTGTGTGTGTGTGTGTATTGTGTGTGTGTGTGTGTGTGTGTGTATTGTGTGTGTGTGTGTGTGTTAGTGTAGTGTGTGTGTGTATTGTGTGTGTGTGTGTGTTTGTGTAGTGTGTGTGTGTATTGTGTATTGTGGCCGTGTGTGTGTGTGTGTAAGTGTAATATGTGTGTGTGTGTGTGTGTGTGTGTGTATGTAATATGTGTGTGTGTGTGTTTGTGTAGTGTGTGTATGTAATATGTGTGTGTGTGTGTTTGTGTAGTGTGTGTTGTGTATTGTGCCGTGTGTGTGTGTGTGTGTGTAAGTGTAATATGTGTGTGTGTGTGTATGTAATATGTGTGTGTGTGTGTGAGTATAAAAACGGAGTGTGTGTGTGAGGATAAGAGTGTGTTGCACTGTCCCCGTGTGTGTGTGTGTGTGTGTGACTGTGTTTGTGTGTGAGTGTGAGTGTGAGTGTGTGTGTGTGAGTGTAAAAACGGAGTGTGTGTGTGAGTGTATGAGTGTGTTGCACTCTGTCTCCGTGTGTGTGTGTGTGTGACTGTGTTTGTGTGTGAGTGTGAGTGTGAGTGTGTTTGTGTCTGTGTCTGTGTGTGTGTGTCTAATTTCTGTGTATGTGTGTGTGTGTAATTTCTGTGTGTGTGTGTTTGTGTACTGTGTGTGTGTGTCTAATTTCTGTGTATGTGTGTGTGTGTACTGTGTGTGTGTGTTTAATTTCTGTGTGTGTGTGTGTTTGTGTACTGCCTGTGTGTGTGTGTATCTAATTTCTGTGTATGTGTGTGTGTGTGTGTACTATGTGTATGTGTTTGTGTACTGCACTGGAAGTGTGTGTGTGTGTGCTCTATAATAAGTGTGTGTGTCTATTTAGTTTATAACCATGATATTACAATGTGAATGTTTTGTATGCTGAACTGCAATATTCTGTGGTTGTTAGTTGCAGAGAAGAGGAGCATAAACGGAAGGATAAGGCTGAGACTACCGCTTCACAGGTGTCATTTAATTTCCATTTTAACATGCAATGCCTAGCAATTGTGACTTGACTGGTTTTTTTCTTTTTGTTGATCCAACATTAATTGTGACTTGGCTGTTTATTTTTTGGGCTGTTAATGCAGTTACTTGTTTCAGAATTCTTTGTATAGCGTTTATTTTGATCTAGTTCATTTCGAATCATAATCACTTCATTTTCATCACCCTTAATAACAGTAAATATTACATATATAATGTCCTTATTTAATTTTCCTTTTTTTTTTGTTTGGATAGATATGGATCGAAGGAAGCTTTTATTGATCTTATTGTTAGAGATGTCTCATTTAGAGACAATTTGCATTTGTACGATTCTTGTGGTGATGATGCTAAGGGCCAAACAGAGACATGTTGAACGACCCACTTTGACTAATCGTTCACTTGTTAGACGAGAGATTAGTTTGTGTTATCTGAATGGTATAATAGGGAATACTGATATTGAATGTGTCAACGAATTGAGAATGGATAGAAGGACTTTTGCCTTATTATGTGACTTACTTCGTCAAGATGGGAGGGTAAAAACTGATGGTTTGGTGTCTGTAGAGGAGCAGGTGTGTATGACTTTACAAATACTAGCACATCATACTAAGAATCGTAGTATTGGCGGTAGATTTTATAGGTCGGGAGAGACTATAAGTAGGTATTTCAATAGCGTATTGCAAGGAATTTTACGATTACAAGGTATCCTACTAAAAGTCCCTCAGCCTGTGCCTATTGATTCTACAGATCCTAGGTGGCGATGTTTTAAGGTATGATGAGAATTTTTTTTCATTTTCCCTAAGCTTTAACTCTTCATTCCCTTTGTATAAATTAACAAAAACTTTTTTTTTTTTTTTTTTAAGAATTGCTTGGGAGCATTGGATGGAACACACATTGATGTGCATGTACCTGAAATTGACAAACCAAGATACCGAACAAGAAAGGGTCGAGTCGCAACTAATGTGTTAGGTGTGTGTTCAGGAGATATGCAGTTCATATATGTGTTTCCGGGGTGGGAGGGTTCCGCATCAGACTCTAGAGTGCTACATGATGCAATTACTAGGCCTAATGGTTTTAAGGTACCAGCGGGTAAGACTATTACTTAGTCTCAACTTTCTAAGTTAGGTCTAGTTCTGTTTGTCAACTACAAAACACTAATAAGGTCTGTTTTTTTTTTTTTTTCATTAGGTTATTATTACCTTGTAGATGGTGGTTATACAAATGGTGAAGGATTCCTTGCACCCTATAGAGGAATACCTTATCATTTATCTGAATGGGAGGGACGAACACCTTCTAATAAGGAAGAATATTTTAACATGAAGCATTCTAAGGCAAGGAATGTAATTGAACACTGTTTTGGCTTGCTAAAAGGAAGGTGGTCGATACTAAGGAGTCCATCTTTCTATCTGATAAGGACACAAGGTCGAATAATTACCGCTTGTTGCCTACTACACAATCTTATTAGGCAAGAGATGTCTGTAGATCCAATGGAGAATTTGCCAATAATAGAAGATGGACAAAATACAGAAGAAGGTGAATATGTTGGTAGTGTTCAAACATCTGACCAGTGGACTGCAAAGAGGAATGACATGGCTCAGGAAATGTATAACGAGTGGAGAGCAATTAGGAACCAGCAATCGAACTAGCTATATGTGTTAATGATAACATTTTATTTTAGTATTCCTTTTTATCATGCATTTGTTAGATATTAGCACAATGATTGGATGGTATGCAAATTAATTGGATATTATGCAAGTTGATTGGATATTATGCAAGTTGATTGGATATTATGCAAATTGATTATTTGTATGGTATTTTCCTTCATTCAAATATTTTTTTGTTTAGGTATGGATAACGAAAATATTTTGAATGCTACTCAAGAGCCAAAAGGAAGAAGGCGTAAATGGGAAGCATTTGAGGAAGAAGCATTACTAGGAGTTCTTGAGGATTTTGTTGCTCGGAAGCAACGGTGTGACACCGGTGCTTTCAAACAAGGTACTTTGGTTGAAATAGCAAAAGCTGTCAATGTTTTATGTCCTCATTCAAATATAAAGGTAAATCCACATATTGAGTCCAAGTTGAAGAAATGGAAAAAACATATAGTATGGTCGTTGACATGATAAACACAAGTGGATTTGCATGGAATGATGTCAAAAAGTGCGTTGAAGTTGACAGTGATGACTCATGGCAAACTTATGTGCAGGTTCATATCCTATTTTATTTATACATTAGTTATATTATTGCTGCTATATTTGTTACGCATGCTAAATTTTAGTTTTGCTATGTTGATATAATCTTAGAGAAATAAAGAAGCCAATGGATGGAGAAGCAAACCTTTTCCACTGTTTGATAGATTTGCATATATATTTGGAAAAGATCGGGCTACGGGTAATGTAGCCGAAACCCCTGCTCAAATGGTGGAGGAACAAAGTCATGATCATGTTGGTGAAAATGATATTGGAGGTGAAAATTTTGTTTCTTCAATGAACCAACAAAGCCAACAAAGCACCCCATCTGAAAATAGCCAGAGAAAGAGGAAAAGAGCTGTGGGAAGTTCAAGTGATGAAACCGAGGCAATTATCAGTGGACTGAAAGATTTTTATGTTGAAAGTGGGAAAAGGATGCAAATGGTAACTGAAGCTTTAGTTCAAGGTACTGCAGATCATACTGACATAGCTAATGAACTTGAAGCAATGGGCCTCTCTCCTATGGATCAAATTGATGCATTGTCTCTTATTTTGGATAAACCAAAAAATGTGGGAGTGTTCAGGGCAATCAAACCGGAACTCAAGAAAGTGTTCGTCCAAAGGCTTTTAAACGACAACGCAAGCGGATGAGGATTTTGGCTAATGTTAACATGGATGTATTTTATTAATCATACAATCTTATGTTATGGCTTATAACTTAGCTTTGCACTAGTATTTTGGCTTATGTTAACTAGCCATTTTGTAAATTATGGAGATCTATTTTGGCTAATGTTAACTAATGTTAACTAGGATTTTCTAAATTATGGAGATCTTCTTATGTACTTGTATTTGTTGAAGTTGCATGTATTGGGCATTTATTTTTTCTTCTGTTGGGTGATAGAGTTTAAACCAAGCTACATTTGCAAATTAAACCCAATTCTATTAGCAGGTAATAAAAACAAAACAATTGTCAATTTTTTTTAAGATTCATAATATACATGGCAAAAATATGCTCCAATTAACCCATATCATGAGATTTGTAGCATTACTCTATTACACAATGGCAAAAATTTGTGGTCCTAGTCTAAGCAAACACAAATCTGGTGAACAGTACTGTTTTTCTTATCCTGCTTCTTAGTCCGACATTACACCAAACGCTTCACTAAGTTAGTCCAGCTTAGTCCAGTCTAAGCCAGTCCAGCTTAGTCCCGGCAGCTAGTCCAGTCCGAGACAGTCCGGCGCAACAAACGCACCCTTAGTTTTTAGGGGTGGGCAAGAGAATTTTTGTCTTTTAAATTACTCTTCTCTCGGTACAGAAGAATATATAGCTCTCTCTGCACTGATATTAATATGCAAGTCACTGTTATTGCATATATTGTTTCCTCATGTTATTTTTTCTTTTGTCAAAAAAATTATTGTGTTCTTTTTTTTTTTTTTTGGTTTGTGTAGGAATACGACGGAAATTTGAAGTGGATATCAACAAATCAAGAATGGACACAAATGATAGGAGCAATAATTTAATTTTACATAATGAATAGCATTTGTGACCTATATAAATTAATTTGATTTGCTTCTGTATCTCCAGTTAATACTTGACTCCACGCATAAAGACATTCTTGATTTCTTGGTTTATTAATTTGATACCTTTCATAATGTAGGTTACAAATTAAAAATAATTATAAGAATGTCTTTATGAGTGACCAAATGTAAAAAGGAAAAGAGAAATTCGTAAGCCGTGAGTAACGCGTCGTGATGTAAAAAGGCATTTTGCAAGTGCATAAGTACGTGCAAAAAGGTTAGTATATATAAAGCTTGTTATATTAACATCCTACATATTGTTAAGCATACAGTACATCACACAATTGCTTTTACAATTAAAATTTATCATAATATAGCCACACACTTTCCCTTAATATCCTCACACCCCACCCAACCTTTTTTCTCCTCCTTCCTTGTGCACTTCCGTTTTTCGTCCCGTTTTCAATTAATCAAAAAGGCAAATTATACGCTGTGTAACATACTGTGTTGCACCAATGATACATAACAATGCTCTTTACATGCATCAGTGTTATACATCTTCTACATTTGGCTTGGTTGTAGGGTATATAAGTCATCTAATATTAAATTTTAATATGGAGTGCTAATAAAAAAGTTTATATATAATTCGGTTTACAATGAATAACCGGTCAAACTAAACCGAAACCGCACTGCTTGGTTTCATTAATAGATTTAAGTAAAATTGAACTAAACTTAACTGAACTGGTGTTCTTCGATTTTGGATTAAAAAATGGACCGAACTGAATTAGACCGTGCCGACCTCTAGTTGTTCGAATTCAAAAATCAAATTGAAGCAAATGATGGGTTGGATTATTGTTCTAAATTTCTTTCCTTATTGACTGAAATTTTTTTTGTTAATTTTTGGAGATTGGTTACTTTCATCATCGGGCACCAGCGCCAGAGCAAACCGACAACCTCGAGTCGGAAGGACTTGTACCCATTTTGAGTTTTAAGGGAAATTTTTTTAAAATGTCATATGAACTTGTACCCATTTTTTAATTTGTCATATAAACTAAAAGTTTAAGCAATTTATCATGTCAACTTTCCGAAATTATCAATTTGTCATCTCACCTTAACTCTGTTTTCCATCCAAAATAAGTTATATGCCTCGCACATGACTTGTCTTCAGAGTTATTTCTACCATTTTAACATCTCACTTCCTTCTATTATGTTGCATTCAATTAAAACAATTCTACAGTGTTCAGTTTAGCATATCATAAAATCTTTTTATATGGGCTCTGTAATATAAGAAACGAGTTGATGTTTGGTGCTAGAAATGGAAATGTAGATGCATATACTCGAGCACAACGATCCGCATGAATACTCTCGAACCCAAAATTTAAGAGTTTTAATAAAAAGATCTTAAATGATAGAAATAACATTGAATACAAGTCATATGCCTCGCACATGACTTATTTTTTATGAAACACTTACCGGGGTTAGGTGAGATGATAAATTGATGATTTTAGAAAGCGAGGCACATGACTTATTTTTTATGAAAAACTTAACGGAGTTAGGTGAGATGATAAATTGATAATTTCAGAAAGTTAGTATGACAAATTGCTTAAAATTTTAGTTTATACGACAAATTGAAAAATATGCACAAGTTCATATGACANTTAGAAGAACACGACTCTTACGTATATTCGTTCAACTTTCATGACATCAGGCCAATAAGGTGATTTTGCTATCATCATACACGACAAAATCTGCGGGCCCTCCGTGGTCTCCAACTGCGAATTCTCCATCACTAACTCTACCATTTTCTCCGCGTCCACTTTTGTCAGAAAATGTTTTGGCCACGCAGTTCAAGGTCAGTGATGTAATGGAGTAAGGAGAGGCAACGTCAGCTGACTGGTTACCTTCAATCCCTTTTAAATCACGCACAAAATCAAGGACATAGATTTATGACATAGGGCCTATAAGTGGATTGCAGGTGAGCTGTCATTTGTTCCTTACAAATGACATCTAAGAGTAATTAATTTTAACGGAAGGTGAGCTGTCATTTGTTCCTTACCACTTCCATCGTAGACTTGCTGTCTATTGGCTGCCAAGAAATAATATTTAATTCTGTCTTGGGCCTGTGCTTCAACTAACCCAAATTCAAAAAGCCCTTGCATGCTTGGGCTTTTAATATTTTTCAGCCCAATGTTAATTAATTACCCAAACACTAACAACTATTAGTGATTAATCAAATACAACATTATCAACTTTTAATGATTAATCAAATACATTAATCATTGTCAACGAATCTAGACAACTAAGAAAAAAAAAATCAAAGAAATGGGTCGACTGTAAAAAAAAACCACCAAAGCAGATGAAAGAATAGAAATGCATATGAAATCAAACCCAAAAGAAGAAACAAATGGGACCACTAAAAAAATCATAATAGCAGGTGAAAGAATAAAACGCAGGTGAAATCAAACCCAAAAGTAGAAACGAATGGGACCATTGTAAAAAAATTTCAACGACAGGGTTTCGACGGTCTGAGAGTTGAGTGCGAGTGAGTGAAAGGAAAGGGGAATCTTATCTCTACTCTGATATATATATATTTTTTTGGTTAAAAGTGATATCTAGGGGTGGGAAATTTTGCCATAAACTAATTTATCGACCGAACCATACTGGGCGGCTCATGATGGTATGATATAGTTTTGGCATTTTACCGAACCGAAAATTAATGGCATGATTTTGGTAATTGATTTTGTATCCCGGCAGTATGCCATACATACATATATATATATATTCCTATTTAGATATTTTAGGTATTTTTTACATACTTGACTCCTCAGTTTTAGGGTTTAGAAAATAAATGACTCCTTAGTTTTAGGGTTTAAAAAATATATGTATATGTATATGATTCATGCCATAATAAATATAGAAAATATTGTTAACAAAATTGATAGCATGATGATTACTAATACTATACATACACATACATATATATGATTTTGAATGTATATGCATTGCTTATGTTTAGGATGATGGAGTTTAGCCAATCAACCGCTAGTGCACAACATGGATTAACCTAAAATGAACCACACAATGCAACCGAACAAGCACCCCAATCTGAAAATCAAATTAAGCCCTTGGAACTGGAAGATAGCGAGGAAGAAGTGGAAACCACTGGTTGTGCCATTTACCAACCGAACCAGCCAATAATTTTGGTTGAATCAATTTTTGGCAACCGTAAGAAGATGGTTGGCTAGCAGTAACTGATTTTCAGTAATCATGTATATGTGGCTGGTAGGTGACACAAGGAATTTGGCACGGTTTGCCAACCGAACCTAGCCCTGATTTCTATTAATTAGACACTTAAAACGAGACCACAAATACACCACCATCTATTCTGATTAAAACATACAAAAGTAACCACGAGTCGGTTCGGTTAACCGATGTCCAAGAATTATAGGAACCGCTCATCAAACTGACCTTAGTCGGTGCGCGTTGGTTTACTCACTGAAAAAATAAAAAATAAAAAACAAAAAACCAATTTGTTGAGTGGGAAGGGAGACAAATTATTATTAATTTGTTGAGTGGGGGACCCACAAATTAAAGATCAGATTTGGGAAGAGCATAAGTTAAGAATTTATGTGTAAATAATTTGTGGTTCAATTGGTTAAAAATATTCGTTCATGTGGTTTTGTGTTCGAATATATATATATATTTTTTTTTGTAATTTAATTTAATTTAATATAAATTATTCTATTTGTTAAAAAAATAAAGATAAGAATTTATGTAATAAAAAATGTTTAAAAAGCCAAGATGACCGACCAGTAAAATTTCTGTAGATATTTTTTTTCTCCAGTGGGTGCGGGGTAGATAGTCAGCGATACTATAAATAGCAAAGCTAATGAGCTCCTGAACTCACACCAGCACTTGATACAAAAGCAATAACACTTGGCTAGTTCGCTTCAAGTTTGAAATCTTTTGAAATATGTCTTCTCTGGAAGTTCCACTATCTCAATCTTCAAGCCCAAATGACACTTTTGATCCTAAGCCTTCAGCCACTTTTTCTCCCAGCATTTGGGGTGACCATTTTCTGTCCTATGCTTCTTTGGTAAGACTTCTTTCTTACTACAATAAACTATTATATATTTTGAACACTATATTATTATGAAAATTAAATTTGTAATTTTAAACGAGGAAAAAAACCAAAGAGTACTTTAATCATTTAAAATGCTACTGATTCGAAATCATTTTATCTAACTTTCCCTTCCTTCACGTGGCAAGCATGTTGCGAATCTAACTACCAAAGTTAAATTCACACACAATTTTTTTTTTTTTTTTTGGGAAAAACAAGTTCTTAAAGTCATGAAAACTGATATGCAATAACTATTTCAGGCTAGCTGCCTCTCTTTTCTCAATGTTTACAATTAGAAATTGACATCATAAAGGTTATGCGTTTTCTAATGTGTTACCAAACTTATAATCATCTTATATTAATTGTAGTCTATATCTTTTGGTATCAAACATATTGTAAAGGTTATGCGTTTTCTTTTTTCTTAAATCAACGTGATGCTATGGAGGAAGTGGATGTTGAACTTGAACAACATGTACAAGAACTGAAGGAAGAAGTGAGAAGGATGCTAATGACTTCAGTTGAAAATGTTTCACAAAAGCTGAACTTGATTGATGACATTCAGCGCTTAGGTGTGTCCTACCATTTTGGAAATGAGATTGAAGAAATTTTACAGAAAATTCACGAGAACTCATATGATTTGGATGACCTGTACACCACTGCTCTTCATTTTCGACTGCTTAGACAACAAGGTTATAACGTTTCATGCGGTAAGTACTCTCGGATGGTGATCTGGTGATATATTTTGTTCTTTTTATCTAAATGCTTTTTGAGGTTCTGAATTTTCCATTTTGTTGGTCATGCAGACTTATTCAACAAATTCAAGGACGGTGATGGAAAATTCAAGGAAACACTCGTTGATGATGTTGTAGGACTACTAAGCTTGTATGAAGCCACACACCTTAGAATACATGGAGAGGAGATACTAGATGAGGCACTAACCTTCACAACCACGCAGCTTGAGTTGACTATATACCGTCTAAGCCCCCCACTTGCAAAAACAGTAACCCATGCCTTAAATCAGCAGCTCCGAAAGGGTTTACCAAGGGTTGAAGCAAGGTATTACTTGTCTGTCTACGAGGAACTAAGAGAATCACCAAATGAAACTCTCCTAACGTTCGCCAAGTTGGATTTCAACCGACTGCAACGAGTCCATCAGAAAGAACTAAGCGAAATCACAAGGTAAATTAATTCCTTATTCATCCATATACATCACTTACTAAAGAGTTGAATTCTCCACCTCTAGCTACTAATAAATACTTATTTTTGTAACTCAGGTGGTGGAAGGACTTGGACGTGCCAAACAAGCTACCTTTCGCAAGAGACAGATTGGTTGAGGTCTACTTCTGCTGGAGTATGTCTGTCTACTTTCAGCCTCAGTATTCCTTTGCTAGGAGGACATCATGCAAAGTTACCGCTATAACATCCATTATGGATGACATTTATGATACACATGGAAAATTTGAAGAACTAGAGCTCTTTACTGAAGCTATTGAGAGGTATGAATATATCATTAGTTAAAATTCTCTTGTATAAATTATCTTACCTTACATCCGATCAAAACAGAAAAACTAAATTACGCACAACTGATTTATATATTACTTGATCAGGTGGGATGTCTCAGCTATAGATCAACTACCAGAGTATATGAAACTTTGCTATCGTGCATTGTTGAATATATACAGTGAAATTCATGAAAAGCTTGCGCACGAGGGGAAATTATATCGCATCGACCATGCAAGAGAAGCGGTAATAATCCATATATATATATATATATATATATATGCGCTTAGTTTTGAGTCTAAAGTTGTTAAAAGGCCAGAAAAACGTGCTGTAAATACTTCACAATATGTATAGAAACAAATAATTATTTATAATAATCTTTATATATCAGTATTAATTAAAAGTAGAAACGATAAAAATTGATATAATCTCTTGATCTGGTATGTGCCAGATGAAGAACCAAGTTAGAGGCTTCTTCGATGAAGCGAAATTGTTCCGCCAGAATCACATGCCATCATTGGATGAATACATGTCTGTATCACTCATGACCTGTGGCTACCCGTTGCTAATAACCACATCGTTTGTTGGAATGGAAGAAGCTACAATAGACTCCTTTGATTGGTTGTTAACTTCCCCTCAAGCAGTGAAGGCTGCATCAACAGTTACCAGACTTATGGATGACATAGCGGACCATAAGGTACTTAATCGTATATGTAAATAGTATTAATGAGTATTGTAGAATGTAAACAGTCTCACGCTGAAAACCAGACAGAATAAAATATAACTCATATCAATTGGTTCCACTTCTAATTGCATTGGACGCTTTTATACAAAAGCCTACGCCTGCTGGACTAGCAAATGGTTAAGTTAGAATAGTATCACTGCTTGACCCATTAGTAGTGAACTGTTGAACCCCTAACTGAAATCTTGACAAGCATGACTATTATGATTGCATTAATACTTATATTAATGGTCTTCCTTTATCTTAATCCTCATGCCTGACTAGCTTGAGCAAGAGAGAGAACATTTTGCCTCAGCTGTGAACTGTTACATGAGAAAATATGGTGCCACAGAAGAAGAAGCGATAATCGAACTTCGAAGACAAGTGAATAATGCATGGAAGGACATAAACGAAGCGTGCCTCCACCCTACCGCTGTCGCCATGCCCCTGCTAATTCGTATTCTCAATTTTGCTCGGGTCATGGATGTTGTGTACAAGTGCGAAGATGGCTACAATAATGCTGACGGTGGGCTAAAAGATTTTATAGTTTCTACACTAGTGGAACCCGTGGCTTTATAAGCCTAAAATATCCACTTACTGTAATGTTTCTTTTGAAAGTATATCTCCAGCGCCCAAGTTGCCTACAAATAATAAGGAGCTAGCTACCATCCGTTAAGACTGCAAAAATGTAATTTGGGTTGTGCGTTTGTTTTCCATGTTTATGATTTTATGATTAATAAAAGAACTTTCTATGTAGTTTGAATAAATCATATATTATTTCTTCAACTCAAATAGCACACTAGAACATGAATATATAGCTGTTAGAACATGAATGTATAGCTGTTGGTGCCAAAACTTGGACACAGATTCGACATGACATCTTGATGAGGAAACCTTTTAGGAATGGCCAATGTGGGACAATGAAATTTCTACTCAAAATTTCCAACAATACCCTACATTTGAGTTGAAATTTCATTCAAACTCCAACAATACCCCACATTTGAATGCAAATGTAATGAACATAAAAATACAAAAAAAAATTTATATCTTGTAATGAACATAAAAATACAAAAAAAAAAATATATCATAATTCATTTGTTAGTGTAGTAGAAATGTTGGCTTCATTTTTCTTTGGGGTGTTGAGTTCGAAACACTAAGATGCCTTTTAGTCACTAGATTTTTCTTTATTTTTCTTATTTTTCAAATTTACTGCTAATTCATTTGTTCAACTCTTAATCCATCTATCTAAATGCATATAAAGTTATAAAACTCAAGTCACTTTGCAATCTTTTTTCTTTCAACTTCTCATTCTGTCCATTTTTATCGAATGTTTAAACCAACTTCTCATTCTCTCAATTTCTATTGAATGTTTAGACCAACTATCATATGGTCTTAAAGATTGTACTTTAAGGTAATCAAAACTTTGAATTTTATATTTTTCTTTTCAATAAATATTCAATTTGTTAGTGTGATGTTGATTTTAGAAGAAAAAAACACAAGAGAAACAATTGGCGTTGAATTTATTATACTCGTTGTGGAGCCAAAAATAATCACAAGGCGACACGTGGATTTTTGGGTGAAGAGGACAAAATTGCCCTCGAGACACACCGGGTTTCCTACACGCGAGCAGTGGAGAATCATCCATCAACCGAGTCAAGAGTGCCCAAAATAGGTAATAAGTTCAAATTTATCTCATCTCCATATCCTCTACAAGGAAATCATTACATAACCTCCCAAAACCTCCCAAAACATTTCTTTTATTATGATAATTAGCCAATTAATATATTTATACCTAATTAATATATTAATTGCTAATTGAATCACCAAATAACACCCCAAAACACACTTAAAGGCCGGCCACACCCCATTCCCTATATATATGACCCTATTTCTTCTAAAAAGTTAAGTCCATACTCTTGCAAAACTCCCAAAAGCTCTCCAAATATTTTTCTCTTTAAATTCTAATTTTGGCATCGGAGGTTCTTCGGCCAAAGCCCCCCCCATTCATTGTGGGCGCGTGAGGCTCTTGGCTTTAACCTAAGGTGCTAATTGTTTTGTAGGTACAATTTTATCCAAAAGGAAGAAGGCGGACATTTGCATCCACAAATTGGTGCTTTCATTGAAAGTTGAGATCCATACTCGTAGAAGACTCTCGCATAAAAAGGTTTTTCTCTATTTTCTAGTCCATTTGAATATTTTTCATACGTTCTTATTATTAGAATTTTTTATTTGCAAAGGTTCTTTGATAAAATGTATAAGAAAAATATAATAGCTAGAAATTTAGAAAATTCCACAAGTGAAAATTCTAATACTCAAGAAATGGGACTGCGACGATCCACGAGGCTAAATGTGGTCATAGGAGGAGTGGTACCACCACTACGAGGTCTCACCATGGCCCAAGCCGTGCCATCTAAGCTTGCACGAGCCCGAGCCCAAGCCTCGCATTCGCATGCATCACGCACTGAGCAGCCTGCTCCCGCCGAGCAGCCCACCCCTGTGGCCTAGCCTGCTCCCGCCGAGCAACCTGCTCTTGCGGCTCAGCCTGCTCTTGCCGAGCAACCTGCTCTCGTGGCCCAGCCTGCTCCCACCGAGCAGCCCACTTCCGTGACCTAGCCTACTCCCGCCGAGCAGCCTACTCTCGCGGCCTAGCCTGCTCTCGTGGCCTAGCCTGCTCATGCGGCCCAGTCTGCTTCTGTGGCTTTCCAAGCAGCCCAAGTCGACCCAAGATTATCTCGACCATCCAGACCTACCATCGAGCCGGGGTTATTCTCACCACATTTTTCTACGGATTTGACATTTCCCAACTCAAATCTCACGCCCGGAGTCTACCACCCTTTCACTGCCCAATGAGGCACATTCCTTCCAAGCTCTTCCAATCTAAGTGGCGAACAACACTTGTCTCGACAAGTCATAGAGTTGACGAGCGCCCTTACACAGCAGACGACTTTGGTGAACCAGCTCTTGCAGCGCACCAAGATGCAATGTGCCCCAGACAAAGTCTCCCGAAGTAAGACAAGGGCAAACGAAAAACCTCTCCAGCAGCTACTCGACCAGCTACGAACCAAGTGTTCGGGCAACGTATACTCCCGACTGGGCCCTCGAGATAACGTATACTCTTGTCTTAGCATGCAGAGGAGCGTGCACTCTCGATTAGGCCCACAGACGAACATACATTCACGGTTGGGGCCACACTCCGATAATCAACATGAGCAACATTCTAGGCGAAGTGTTCATTCGCGGCAAGGTTCGCAAGGAGCATCCTCCACCTCACATCGGAGTAGGCAGCTCAACGGACGGAGATAAGCAATCACTCAATCCAGCTCAAGTTTCACCAGCAGCTTGCGAGTTACTCGCTCTCCTGCTAGAAATATACCACATCAACCACAGCAGCAACATAGACGAGCCGAACACATGGAACAGCAGTCTAGACCAGCAGGTCACGACCGAGGACAGCCGAGGGCAGCCGAGGGCTCTGCCAACCCAACAAAGGTAAATTCAGGAAGAAGTATAAATACTCATGACCGAGCGATTGTGCGATTTCCCGCGCAACGAAACTATTGACAAAGCTCTTTGATGAGACATGACCAACATAAGCGAGTCATCTTTCAATGACAAGATTGAGCATACGGGACTACTCCATATAGATTGTCGGATATAAAGACTTTTTCTGTTCCGACAAACGCAGCAGCTCAACCTAATGGCACGTCAGGGGCAAACAAGTACCAAAATGACACACCAGCCCGACTATCAAGAACCTGGGCAGACCTTGTTCTCAACACTCCAGACAATTCCTTCCGCTGCGCACAACCTGGCCCAAGCCAGCCCCATCTCTGATTTCACAACCACGCCTGCCTGCTCCACGGCTTCCGGCAGCCATTGATCTATCATCATGGCTCATAATTGTGCCAATCTTGCACCATGGCTCCCAACCATGACAATCTTGCCATGTGGCTCATGTCAACCAAGCCTAAAAAAGGCACACGACGAAACACCTAATGATGGCACAATAATTCTGGGAGCAGCTCACTGCGCTTACACCTTTACGCGAGATCCACAAGCAGTTTGAAGTCTCAAGCAGATCGCCAAACATGACCTCGCAGGCTAAGGATTATTTTTGTTGTCCCAGCAGTCCAGTTTTCCTCAGCTACACTCACGACAACGACTTTCATGCTCTCCAGTGCGAGAGGGTAAACCAATTCCCCGACACCCATATAGGTTTGCTCTCCAGTGCGAGAGGAAAAACTAATTGTTCTCCAGTGCGAGAGGGTAAACCAATTCCCCGACACCCATATGGGTTTGCTCTTCAGTGCGAGAGGATAAACTAATTACTCTCTAGTTCGAGAGGGTAAACTAATTGTTACCCAGCGCGAGAGGGTAAACTAATTGCTCTCCAGCGAAATGGTAAACTAATTGCTCTCCAATGCGACAGGGTAAACTAATTCCCCGACACCCATCTGGGTAAGCTCTCCAGTGGGAGAATGCCACATAGCTTAAAAGATCGAATGCTTGAAGATCAACTAGGTAGCAAATGGTCAGGGGGAGCAACCATTTTTGCACTTAACAGTTCACTCATCCGACACTTTATCTTTAGCAGCTCCGATCTTGGTAGCTTTATCCTTGAACTGCTCCATCTAAGGCAGCTGAAGAAATCAAACTCAAGCAATTTCCTCATTTTTGGCAAGCAGCCCAAACATTGCAGCCTAAACCGTTGCCCATGCCACACCACTTCCTTGGCTCATGACAAATCCTTGGCTTTATTCCTGGCCCAAGCTGGCCAGCCGACGTGCCGCACCACCCCCGACGGCTGCCCCGTGGCAGCACTCCCAAGAAAAAGACAAGGAAAAAATTAAGTTTTCCTTACATCGATGTGCGACATGGAGAAGACGAAGAAAGCAACGAAAAACGGTCATTTGTACGGGCAAGATGTAGAAGATTGCTAGAGGATGGGGGAACAAATATCCTCTAAGCTTCTCTCTCTCTTGTAGGGTAGAATAAATTGCTCTCCAAAGTTGATTTAATAACCCACTTACGGGTGGACTTAAATAGACTTTGAGAGAAATTTATTTCCCTTTCCTAGAAAGGCCTAATTTCATATTCAAAGAAGGGAATCTACATCAAAATAAGAAGCAGTCCTAAGTTTCCTAGAGCAAGAAGATCTCTACGCCTGCTGCCCGTTCCTACTAAGCAGCCCAGCAGGTGTGGGGGCATTTGTGGAGCCAAAAAATAATCAAGAGGGGACACATGGATTTTTGGGTGAAGAGGACAAAATTGCCCTCGAGACATACCAGGGTTTCCTACACGCGAAGCAGCGGAAGAATCATCCATCAACTGAAGTCAAGAGTGCCCAAAATAGGTAACAAGTTCAAATTTATCTCATCTTTAATCCATATCCTCTACAAGGAAATCATTACCATAACCTCCCAAAACCTTCCCAAAATATTTCTTTTATTATGATAATTAGCCAATTAATATATTTATACCTAATTAATATATTAATTGCTAATTGAATCACCAAATAACACCTCAAAACACACTTAAAGGCCGGCCACACCCCATGCTCTATAAATATGACTCCATTTCTTCTAAAAAGCTAAGTTCCACACTCTTGCAAAACTCCCAAAAACTCTCCAAATACTTTTCTCTTTAAATTCTAACTTTGGCATCGAAGGTTCTTCGGCCAAAGCCCCCCCATTCATCGTAGGCGCGTGAGGTTCTTGGCCTTGACCTAAGGTGTTACTTGTTTTGTAGGTGCAATTTTATCCAAGAGGAA